AACTTGTCCAAGGTCACACAGCCTGGTGGGGCTGGCATTTAAAACCAGGCAGTCCAGCACAGTCTGTTGGATCTAGAATTAAAAATAACAGCTACATTTGCCATGTGTCAGGCTCTCTACACATTTAGCAGAGTGTAGCGTGAAACTCTTATACTCTAGAGCCAGGCTACCTGGCTTCACATGCAGGCTCTCTGATTTCCAGCTGTGTAATCTTGGACAAATAGCTAACCTCCTCTGTAAATAGGGACAAAACTCAAGTCTAGCTCATAGAGCTGTTGTGAGGATTAAAACTGAATAATATAAAGGGCTTAGAATAATACCTGACACACAGTAAGACCTATAAAGTGGTATTATTATTAACCCTCAGAAACAACTCTATCCAGATTATTATACCCATTTTACGAATGAGGTTCTGTGGCTAGGAGAGGGCCAATCGCTTGCCCGAGGACACAGAGCTGGGATTCAAACTCAGATCTCCCTGGACCTGTCACCAGGATCCAAAGCACATGCTTTTAACCTTGAGCTTTATTCTTTCCTGGGGTGGAGGGCATAATCCATCTAGTCCCCTCCTCAACAGCTGCAAGGATGACTTTGCCCCCACCCCCAACAATCCTAGCCCCTGAGCATTGAGGCAGAGATAAAGGAAAATACAGAGAATTCTCTAGATCCCCTTCCCCAGTGTTAGCCTGGAGAAGCCCCCAAAGCCTGTGTGTGTGTGTGTGTGTGTGTGTGCGTGTGCGTGCACACACACACGTGTGTGTTGGTGTGTCGATGGAGGTGAGCCAGTCTGGGAAGATGGGACAGTCTTCCAAAAGCAGCAACTATAAACAGGATGCTGTCACCCCACACCCTACTGTCCTTCCCCTCAGCTGAGCCGGGCCGGCAGTCCCCAGAGTCAGCTGCCTCTGCAAATACACAAACACATAAATTGCGCTGGAGAGCTGGCAAAGCCACAGAGGGAAAGGCAGATAGCAAGACTAAAGGAGGAGATGACGCGCCAGCTCAGGACCCCCGCCAAGGGAGGGAGGCAATGGGCATTTGCAGACTGAGCAGGGATGGAGCAGGGGTGTGGAGGGGGAAAGAGAGAGGGAGGATGGACAGGTGTGTTCCAGCCACCCAGGATTAGGTGAGAGGGAGTAAGGGAGGCCCAGGGGTGGCCCGCTGACCGAGGACCACCTCTCTCCACAAGGGTTTGGGTCAGCCCACAGATTATCTTGGAGGGACCAGGGGACAGGCTAGTCTCCACATGGTTCTGGAAGTAGACTGCATTCTTGGTGCTGGGGGTGGGGGGTGGTGTCACGTACCCTTCTGTCAGCCCAGGGAGGCACTCACATGTGTGAAACTGCTAGGACAGAGCCATGAGTGTCCCGGCATTGGCAGTCTCCGTTCTAGCCAGGAGGGCAGCTGTGGGGAGGGGTGAGGGAGATGCAAAGCCGCTGGGGAAGCAGGGGCGCCAGCTGACAGGGTGTGTGGAGCCAAGAGCCCCACGTTCCACAAGCTCTCCACAGCCGCAGACCCAGCCATCCAAGGCCAACACCCCACCGCCCACGTGCTTCTCGTTAGGTTCATTAGCAGCAAAACAACAACAGGCAAAAACACAGGGATCAGCTAATTAGCGCACAGAGCTTCGTGGGCAAGCAGACCTCAAGTGGGAAAGGTCTACACCCACAGGCAGTTTGCTCCAGGAGAGCGGCCGCATTCGTGCCCAGGTCAGAGTGGGCGACCCGGAGCGGCAGGGTGAAAGGGCCAGGCAGAGAAGCCATAGGGGTGAGAACCCCAGGATGAAGGGGACTGAGTCTAGAGTGGGTATCGGCAGCATCCTGGAGCAGCACCTCACTGGGCACAAGGGTGCACACACGCATTGGTACTGTGCCAATCTGCAGACTCACCCAGCCACGAGTTTCCAGTGTTGAAACTCCATTTTGGCAGAAAGTCATGCTGGAAAATCACGAGCAAGTAAGGAAACTACGAACCTCTAGGGTTGGAGGGCCCGAGTGAGGCCCAAGCCCAGATCCCTCCAGCAGCTGGGTTGAAGCCCACCACCTCTGAAGCCACCCAGCTCCAACTTCACCTCAGACCTCAGCAACACTCTCCACCGGCCAATGCTGCCTCCTGGTAGAGGAACATACCAACCCTCCTCTCTGCCTCCAACCCCAAACCCCTTCCCAGGTCTCCAGAGTCCCCTAATGCCCTGCTATTCAAAGTGTGGTCCATGGACCCAAAGCATCAGCATGCCCTGAGAGTTTGTTAGAAATACAGCCTCCCTGGCCCCACTCCCAAAACTGCTGAATCTGAATCTGCACTTTAATAAGATCCCCAGGGGGTAGAGTCCAAGGGGATCCTCCTATGATCAACCCTAAACCCTGCTCAGTGGTTTTCGGTCCTGGCTAGAATTACCCAGTTATTAGGCGCCTTCAAGTCAGTTCCGATTCATAGCAACCCTATGAGTCAGAACAAAACCCTGCCTAGTCCAGTGCCATCCCCATGATCATTATTATGCTTGAGCCCATTGTTGCAGCCACTGTGTCAATCTGTCTCATTGAAGGTCTTCCTCTATTTCACTGACCTTCTACTTTACCAAGCATGATGTCCTTTTCCAGGGACTGATCCCTCCTGGTAACACGTCTAAAGTATGTGAGACGGAAGTCTCGCCATCCTCGCTTCCAAGGAGCATTGTGGCTGTACTTCTTCCAAGACAAATTTCGTTCTTCTGGCAGTCCATGGTATATTCAATAATCTTCGCCAACACCATAATTCAAAGGCATCAATTCTTCTTTGGTCTTCCTTATTCATTGCCCAGCTTTCTAATGCATATGAGGTGATTGAAACAACATGGCTTGAGTCAGGCGCACCTTAGTCTTTAAAGTGACAACTTTGCTTTTTAACACTTAAAAGAGTTCTTTTGCAGTAGATTTGTCTAATGCAATGCATCGTGATTTGATTTCTTGACTGCTGCTTTCATGGACATTGATTGTGGATCCAGGTAAAATGAAATTCCTTGACAACTTCAGTCTTCTCTCCGTTTATCATGCTAGAATCACACAGGGTGCTTTGAAAACCATCAGTGTCCAGGTCTCACCTCTAGAGAATCTGCTTAGTATAAAACCACCTGGCCACCCACACCCTGGCGTCTCTACCCTGGGAAGTCACTCAGAGCTGATTTGGGGCCCCACATCCTTCTCTAATGAGCTGCACGACCTTGGGCAAGTCATCACCTCTCCAAGGCTGACTTTCTTCACCTTTAAAATTATGAGGACCAAGTTTCCCTCCCCTGACTCTGCCCCCAGCCACAAAAGGCCTGACCCCTGAGAGCCCCCACCGATCCAGTTCCCCTGAAAAGGAACAGGTTTTCAGGCAGAAGATCTGCTTTTTGTTTGGTTTTGGTTTGGGGGTTTTGGTTTCTTTATCTGGAGATGGAGACACAAGATTCTGCCTGAGCTGCATTTTTACTGGTTAATTTTTTTTTTTCATTTCAACACTTTTTTTTTTTTATTGTGCTTTAAGTGAAAGTTCACAATTCAAGTTAGTCTCTCATACAAAAATTTATACATACATTGTTATGTGACCCTAGTTGCTCTCCCTATACGGTGACAGCACACTCCTCCTTTCCACCCCGGATTTCCTGAGCTGCATCTTTAGACTGGAAAAAGGGCAGGGCCATGAGGTTAACCAGCACCCCTATCCCTGCAGACTCGAAAGTATCCCCATGTCATCCCCATCTTGGGAGGCATGGGGAGAAACAGGGAGGGGGGCATCCAATCAGTGTGGGGAACTCCGTGAATCTTGTCATGCACCCGAACTAGTGACTGTGAAACCTTCACACTGAAAAGGGCCTGGGTGCTTGTCCTGCAGGCAGGAAGGGGTGCTGGCAGGACTGAGGCTTTACAGCCAGGCTTCGGGCCTGGAAGAGGATAGTGTCAGTTACAAGAGGGACAGTCAGGCAGAACCCCTTGGAGCTGCCACAAAGACCAAGGGAGCTGGTGAGGGCCCAAGAGGGGCCCTGGGTGCAAAGGAGAAAGATTCAAGGGGTTTCCTCAAAGCCCCACATCTGTGGGAGTCCCAAGCAGCAGAATGCCCCAGCCTCAGGCTGCCTCGGTCCAGCGTCAGCTCCAGCATGTGCTGAAGTATGTCCTTGACGACATTTCCTAACCAACATGCGCCTCAGTTCCCTCCCCTGTAAGTGGGGATGACAACTAAATACAGTGAAACCCGTGACAGCCAGAACTCGATGGGACTGCCTTGTTTTTCAGGGTCTCACAAGTCTTCCACCTTTGACAGGGCGCAATCTTACCAGTTTTCTATCACTCTCTATTATTGGGAAATATTTGAGTTTTCTTTCTCTGACAGGTTCCCGCCTCACACAGGTTCTGGCATTCGCAAGTTCTCCCATACCTACTTGGAGGATTATTGAGGGGCTAAACTAAGACAATGTATGTAAAGAGTTTAGCAATGTTGGGCGCATAGTAAACACTCAGCTGTTAGCTAGTAGTGGTAGTACGCTGATAGTAGTAGTATAGTACTAGCATAGCAGTAGTAGTAGGAGTAGAAGTAGAAGTTGTAGAAGTAGTAACAGTAGTAGTAGCAGTAGTTTGGTGGTCCTGATGGTAGTAGTAGCATGTTCACAGGTGTAGGAAGTGAAAAGATAAGATAAGATACGTGGCAGCAGAGTGTAGTGATTAAGAGGCACCCTGGAGTCAGGTCTAAAAAAAAAAAACAAAAACAGTTGCCTATGTAGAGTCGATTCTGACTCATGGCAACCCCATATGTTTCAGAGTAGAAGTGCACCCCATGGGGTTTTCCATGGCTGATTTCTCTGAAGTAGATTGCCAGGCCTTTCTTCCAAGGTGCTTCTGAGTGGACTTGAACCTCTAACCTTTTGGGCTGTGTCTCAGAAGGCAATTGAGGAAGACAGTTCTAGTTCAGGTTCTGGAGTCCTCCAGCCTGGCCCACCTCCCAGAAGGAGAGAAGTGGGGGGGGGGGATAGGGGAGGAGGCACTCACGTTTGATACAGTGGTGGGTGCTGTTTGCTGTCGTCCATCCTGGGCAGCACTGTCCCCCGCAGACATTTCTCCTGTGGGGTCACCAGAACAGGGTCAGCACAAGAATGATCAGAGCGGGGACCATTCTCAGAGCCCCCCTGAGGGTCCCACCCTTGACAGGCAGGGCCTCAGGTAACACTAGGAGGCTGGGTGGACTGAGGCTGCAGGGCCCGGGGGCAAGTGCTTTGGGATCAGACAAATCTAAGACCGAATCCTGACTCTGCCATCCTCTGTGTGCTATTGAGAAAGTAACCTCTCAACCTTACTCTCTTCATCTGTAAAATGGAAATAATAATGCCTGCCTAATTGGGTTGTTGAGATGATTAAATAAGATAGGGCTGTAAGGCACCTAACTCAAAAAAGCACTCAACTGTGGCAATACTGACAGTGATCATGAAGATGATTAAAAAACAAGTTGGAGAGGTTCAGCAACCTACCAAGGGTACACAACAGGAAAGTGGCACGGCCCACTTCAAGCCTGGGTTGGCCCCGCTCTAAGCCATGCTCCAATTCTAAACTGCCTCTCACCAAAAACTAAACACATGGCCCTTACCCTGTAAATGCTGACAATCCAAGAAAACACCTGGAAAATACAACAAAACTGTCTTAACCAGATGCTGTTGAGTCCGACTCCTGGAGACCCCACGTGTGTCCGCGAACTGTACTCCATAGGGTTTTTAATGGCTAATTTTTCTTCCAAGGTGCCTCTGGGTGGATTTGAACCTCCAACCTTTCAGCTAGCAGCTGTTATAGATTGAATTAGCACCCCCAAAATGTTGTTAGGTGCCGTCAAGTTGCTTCCGACTCATAGCAACCCTACGTACAACAGAACGAAACACTGCCCAGTCCTGTGTCATCCTCACAATCTTGCTATGCTTGAGCCCATCCGGCAGCCACTGTATCAGTCCATCTCATTGAGGGTCTTCCTCTCTTTTGCTGACCCTCTACTTTACCAAGCATGATGTCCTTCTCCAAGGACTAGTCCCTCCTGATAATGTATCCAAACTACGTGAGACAAACTCTTGCCATCCTTGCTTCTAAGGAGCATTCTAGTGGTACTTCTTCCAAGACGGATTTGTTTGTTCTTCCTGCAGTCCACGGTATATTCAACATTCTTCTCCAACACCATACTTCAAAGGCATCAATTCTTCTTCAGTTTTCCTTATTCATTGTCCAGCTTTCACATGCATATGAGGCGATTGAAAATACCATGGCTTGGTCAGGCACACCTTAGTCCTCAACGTGACATCTTTGCTTTTTAACACTTTAAAAGAGGTCTTTTGCAGCAGATTTGCACATTTGATTTCCTGACTGCTGCTTCCATGGGTATTGACTGTGGATCCAAGTAAAATGAAATCTTTGACAACATCAATCTTTTTTCCATTTATCGTGATGTTGCTTATTGGTCCAATTGTGAGGATTTCTGTTTATGTTGAAGTGTAATCCATACTGAAGGCTGTAGTCTTTGATCTTTATCAATAAGTGCTTCGAGTACTCTTCACTTTCAGCAAGCAAGGTCGTGTCATCTGCATATTGCAGGTTGTTAACGAGTCTTCCTCCAATTCTGATGCCACGTTCTTCTTCATATAGTCCAGCTTCTTGAATTAGTTGCTCAGCAGCCAGATTGAATAAATATAGTGAAAGGATACAACCCTGACACACACCTTTCCTGATTTTAAACCATGCAGTATCCCCAAGTTTTGTTCAAATGACTACCTCTTGGTCTATGTACAAGTTCCTCATGAGCACAATCAAGTGTTCTGGAATTCCCATTCTTCACAATGTTATCCATAATTTGTTATGATCCACACAGTAGAATGCCTTTGCATAGTCAGTAAAACACAGATAAATTATTCTAGTATCCTCTGCTTTCAGCCAAGATCCATCTGACATCAGCAATGACATCCTTTTTTCCACATCCTCTTCTGAATCTGGCTTGAATTTCTGGCAGTTCCGTGTGGATGTATTGCTGCAACCACTTTTGAATTATCTTCAGCAAACTTTTACTTGCGTGTGATATTAATTATATTGTTTGATAATTTTCACATTCGGTTGGATCACCTTTCTTTGGAATAGGCACAAATATGGATCTCTTCCAGTCAGCTGACCAGGTAGCTGTCTTCCAAATTTCTTGGCATAGACAAGTGAACGCTTCCAGTGCTGCATCCATTTGTTGAACTATCTCAGTTGGTATTCTGTCAATTCCCGGAGCCTTGTTTTTCACCAATGCTTTCAGTGCATCTTAGACTTCTTCCTTCTATACCATCGGTTCTTGATCATATGGTACCTCCTGAAATGGCTGATGTTGACCAACTCTTTTGGTATAGCGACTGTGTATTCCTTCCATCTTCTTTTGATGCTTCCTGAGTTGTTTGATATTTTGCCCATAGAATCCTTCCTTATTGCAACTTTAGGCTTGAATTTTTTCTTCAGTTCTTTCAGTCTGAGAAATGCCAAGAGTGTTCTTCCCTGACTCCAGTCTATGCATATTTCATTATAATACTTTACTTTGGCTTTTCAAGCTGCCCTTTGAAATCTTCTGTTGAGCTCTTTTACTTCAGCATTCCTTCCATTCTTTTTAGCTGCTCGAGTTCAAGAGTAAGTTTCAGAGTCTTTTCTGACATCCATTTTGGTCTTTTCTTTCTTTCCTGTCTTTTTAATGACCTTTTGCTTTCTTCATGTATGGTGTCCTTGATGTCATTCTATAGCTCGTCTTGTGATTAGTGTTCAGTGTGTCAAATGTATTCTTGAGATGGTCTCTAAATCAGGTGGGATATACTCAAGGTCGTACTTTGGCTCTTGTGGACTTGTTTTCATTTTCTTCTGCTTCAACTTGAACTTGCATATGAGCAGTTGATGGTCTGTTCCACAGTTGGCCCCTGGCCTTGTTCTGACTGATGATACTGAGCTTCTCCATCGTCTCTTTCCACAGATGTAGTCAATTTGATTCCTGTGTATTCCAACCAGCAAGGTCTCACGTGTAAAGTCACTGTTTATGGTTTTGAAAAAAGGTATTTGCAATGAAGTCGTTGGTCTTGCAAAATTCTTATCATGCGATCTCCTTTTTTATCACCAAGTCCATAAAACCAAAAAACCAAACCCACTGCTGTCGAGTTAATTCTGATTCATAGCGACTCTATAGGACAGAATAGAATTGCTCCATAGGGCTTCCAAGGAGCAGCTGGTGGATTCAAACTGTTGAACTTTTAGTTAGTAGCTCTTAGCCACTGTGCCATCAGGGCTCCGCCAAGGCCATATGTAAATACTAACCTCTATGCCTGTGATTATAATCCCATTTGGGAATGGGTTGTCTTTGGCATGTTACTGATGCAGAGTTAGAGATCTTGAGTCTATCTCTTTTGAGGTATAAAAGAGATTAAACAAGCTAGCAGAAGCAGAGACAGGAAGAGAAATGCCAAGCCACATGAAGATTGCCCAGGAGCAGAAGCTCAGAAGAGACAAGGACATTTTTCCAGAGCTGACAGAGAGAGAAAGCCTTCCCCTAGAACAGACACCTTGAATTTGGACTTTTAGCCCCCTAAGCTGTGAGAAAATAAACTTCTTTTTGTTAAAGCCACCCATTTGTGGTATTTCTGGTATAGCAGCACCAGTTAACTAAGACAGCAGCTGAGTGTATTAACCATTGGTACCACTCAGTCTTAGGGACATACATGTGTGTCACCTACCAACAAATGCACACTAGGAGCAACCTTAGTCCTCCAGCAGGCTGGTGAACAGTAGGAAAGTTGGGGGGCTGAGCACTGAGAGGCAGACATTGCTATTTAGGAGGGGCTTATGGTGGGCAAGTTGGTGGGAAGAGGAGCTGGGGACTTGGGTTAAGCTGCCTCTGCAGAGTGAACATGCGCTTTTTATTTGCGGAGGCTTTGGGAAGGCTAATGTGGTGGCTAGAGTCCCTACTCCAGCGGCTCTTTGGTGCTAGCACTGAAGGCACCCACATGAGGCTCTAACCTTCAGTAACAGCTGGGCCACTCACTCAGCTCGCGCACACTTTGCCTTCCATGTTTGTCCTGCTGTCTGGTGAGGCCCCCAGGGTCTGGTCAATGCCAACAGATGCTCCCAGGAAGCCTTGCACCACCAGCAGTTTCCACCCAGTCTTTACTCTCCATCCAAAGTCCCAAACGCCTGGGCCAGGGTGACTTCCCTAGAAGGGCTCTTCCTAGAGAAGACCTCTGGAGGATGACTCCTTGGCCCAGACTGGGTCTGGCTCTGCCTTCATGGACTCCATCATTGTCATCGGAAATTGTCCACCAAGCACCACTGAAACTGGAGGGTGCATGGGGAGGCAGAGGTGGGGAGGCTCAAGAGTCTGGGCAAAGGACAGAGCAGGGTGGCCATCCCTGGGAATGCTGCGGCCAGCATGGCAAGCATCTGGTCCCACTTAGGAATTTGTTTGACATTTGAGTGGACCCCAAAGCTTGTGTGGTTTTTGGAGCCTGACAAAGAATTCAAAATAAATTCCTGCCGCTTGCAAAAGCTGAGGTCCATGTCTGGCCTTTTGGCCCAAAGTTGTGGGGAGCTGCCTTCCAGGGAACTCTCAGAATGTGCTCCCAACCAAGAGCTGTGCCACCCCGGCCCCCTGGAAGCCTCTCTGGATGCCACCCAGCAGCTTGCCAGAGCTGTGAAGACCTCCTCCCTATCAGGGTCCAAGTCACCAGGTTCTGGGGAAAAGGCTGGTCCCCATCCCTGGGGTTCCTGAGTGTGTGCCCTGGTGGAAGGGGAAAATTGCACACCCACTTGCAAGTCACTACCTCTTGTGGTGGTGACAAGGTCTCTTAGAACCTGGGAGGTCTGTGAGAGAAAATAGGCTGCATGCCCAGCAGTTTCCTAAGAATGAGGGCCTGTGGGAACCCAGATAGCACGGACCGAGGGACTTGCCTGACCAGGGAGGTCATGGTATGGAGCCCAGCCCCAGAGCCAGATGTCACCCCAGATATCTTCAGGATGGCTTTGCAGCTGACTGTTAGAGGGCAGCAGCCGGGCCTGCCCTGCCTGCCTTCAGTGGAGCCCTGCCTACAAACAGCCAGAATGAAAGACTTCCAGGCTGAGGGTCCAGGTTGGGGCTGGGAGGACACTGAAGAGGGACTCAGGTACCAGTGGAGGCCTCCAAGGGACTCTTCTAGGCCAAGGGAGGTGACAAGCTGGGAGATGACCATTTGCGGGCTCTGGCTAACTGGAGAGAACAAATGAGCCAGACTGCCTGGGGCACATAATGGCAGCAACAATGGACTCAAACATACCAACAATCATGAGGATGGCACAGGACTGGGCAATGTTTTGTTCTGTTAAACATAAGGTCACCATGAGTCAGAGCCAGCTCGATGGCAACTAACAACGACAACAGCTGGGACACACAATTCAGTGGCTCTGACTTGCTGGAAGGTACCACTCAGAGGTCATATGTACCCAATCTTCCAAGTGACACCACTTAGCTAACATGAGCTAAATACCTAGCACCACGGCCCAGCCCTTGGGATGCATCTAACCAACCGCCTGGGACAAAAGCTGTTCCGCCTGGGACAAATCTGATTGTGCTTGTCCTTTGTTAAAAATCTCCCACGGCTCCCCACTGCCAACACAGAGCCAACCTGGCGCACACCTACTTGTGCAGCCTAATTGCCGCCATCAGCCCTCCCTCATCTCCACGACCATCTGCACCCAAGGCTGTAATCCTCCAGGGAAACAAACTTTGTCATCCTCCAGTTGCACCATATATGGTCACACTTGGATGCCTTTACTTAAGCTGCTCTGTCTGCCTAGAATGTCGTCTCTCTCCTCTTGGCTGATTGGAATCCTTTGCATACTCCGAGACTTCCAGATCAAAGGTTACCTCCTTTGTGTAAAACCTCCACTGACATCTATCCAGCCTTCCCCATTCACCATCCACCATAATCATTTAGTACTGATTGTCTCAAGTTGTTGGCTGTGCCTGTCTCCTCCCTGGGTATCTTGAGGGTTCTTTCTTCTTCCTCAGTGTGCCTCTGGGGCCTAACACAGTGCCTGACACATGGTGTATTTTTAATACTTCTGTACTTCACTAGGGGCATTGGTGGTGCAGCGGTTAAGAGTTTGGCTGTTAACCAAAAGGTCGGCAGTTCGAATCTGCCAGCCGCTCCTTGGAAACCCTAGGGGGCAGTTCTACTCTGTCCTAAAGGGTTGCTAATGAGTCAGAATTGACTCGACGGCAATGGGTTTTTTTGGTTTTAGTACTTCACTTAATCCAGTGTTTCCCAAAAAGTGGGAGGAGCAGCAGTGAGGCTGGGAAAGAGGATTGTAGGTTTACTCAACAATGTTGAGTCCCATGGTGAGGATGTGATCCCCTTCCAATGATCTTTGAGCCTCCTGACTAGGTCAATGGTAAAGTCTCCATCTGAGGCTCCTCCAACACTTGCCAGTCTCGCTTTTCAACAGGGAGAACAACCTACAGGGTTGAGCCTCTTAAAATAATGGTGTCAGACTAGAATTTAAGAACATTTTCTTCCTGTTTCCATTTTTCCTTCAGTTACCTTCTCTTTATGGTAAGTGGTACTATTTTCAACTTATGATCGTGATACCAAGTGTCCTTTTAAAATGGATTTACTTATGTAGAAAAATGAGTCAAGCACTGTTTGTAATATCAAAAAAATGTAACTCATCTAAACGTCCAAAAAGAGGAGAATAGATAAACAAACTGTGCTGTATTCAGACAATGGAATAATACACAACAGTTAAAATGAATAAACTTGGGCTAATTATATTAACATGGTTCAATCTCAAATGTCTAAGGGGGGGGAAGAAACTTGTAGAAGAATAATAATACAGCATGGTATCACTTACATAAGTTTAAAAGATGCAAAATCAATATTATGTTTCTTTATGTATACTTGGATCTGTAGTAATAGTATGAAAACATACACGGGAATGATAAGTAAATTCAGCATAGTATTTAACTCTGGGAGAAAGGACGGCAACTTTATAGAGGAAATGTCAACTAAAAATCTGAAGCAAAATATGACAAAATGTTAAGGTTTGATAAAGCTGGATTGTGAGTTATATTATTTCCAATACCTTTTTGTATGCTTGTAAAACTTCATAATACAAAATATTTTAAAAATGGAGAAAACACAAAATCCTGTCCTTTTAAAGTATATAAATTAAAGAAAATCTCAATAATAAAATGAGAGAGAGAAGGTAGAGGAAAAAAATTGTGAAGGTGGTATGCTGTGAGGCTGGTTCAAGAATCACTGAGGTTGGGGACACACTGGCTTAATGAGTCCCCTGTAGACTGTAAGTTCCATGAGTGCAAGAACTGTGTCTGCTCTGGTCACTGCTGTATCCCAGACACCTAGCACAGGCTTAATAAATCTTCGTTGTGTGCAATAAATCCTCACTACATTGCAAGTTCCATGAGCACAGGGGCTGTCTCTTTTAGCCACTGCTGTATCCCGAGAGTCCAGCACTGTGCCTGGCATATAGGAAGCTTTCCACACTAATTTGTTGAATGAATAAATGAAAGAATCCCCAGTAGTAGTGAGACAGTTCCAAGCTTCACCACCAGGTGGCACTTGATCCTTAGCCCTGAGCAGACCACAAGGCAATAGCCATAGCCAGAGTGATCAATCTGGCCAGAAGCCATTGACCAGAATGGACCTGGGTAGAGGAAGCCAATGGATAAGATTCTTACTTGGCCCCTCCCCAGCTGACATAGCATGACAATCTGGAGGGCCAGAGGAACCTACCCTTTATCAAAGCTGCAAAAGATAATCTGGGGAAGGAGCCAAAACCCACACATGATGTGATATGTGCACCTGTGTACAGCAGGTGCCTTGGGTGGCTTCCAGTCCATGTCCTCACACACCTGTACACATCCATCAGCCTTATTCTGGACTTGATCTTCTTTGCTCATCACCACCTCATTTCATGGCTTCTAATAGCCTACCCTCCAACCCCTACCCTCCACTCCTCCACCTTCCCCTCACCCACCTCACTCCTGCCTAAATGTCTACTGTATCAGGTCCTCCATGAACTGGCCCAAACTACCCTTCCAGCCCCAGCCACCATGGCTCCCCTACACCAGGGCTGCAGTCCTGCCTCTGGGCTAGTGCCAGCAGTGACATGTCCTTACCTTGGGCAGTATGGCACCTGCATGTCACCCTCACCTCTGGACCCTACTCCTACCACCTTTTCTTTCCCCTCTGCTTCCCCATATGCTGCCTTTAGAGCCCCACGGCTCCCGCTCACAGTCTCCTCTGAGCTCCTCAGCCACTTCTGCACTTAACATGAAGCTTCCAGTATTAGAAAGCACGTCCAGCAGTATATATCTGTCCATTTCCCAGCAAGAACAATCCCTTCGTCTCTGGTCTCCCATGACCTAAGCCATGCTCTGCACACAGGCTGTTAGGAAGCATACATTCACGTGCACAGGTCAGGAAAAGAAAAATGGAAACGTGGCAGATGCTTCATAAATACTTGTTTGAGTGACCCAGTGAGTAAGAGACTTGGCAGTGCACGGGTCTACTCTCTGCTTTAAGCTGACTTTTCTGGACCTTCCATGGGGAGCAGGGAGTTCATTCACTCATTCAACAGACTCAATGAACACCAATGCTCTGCAGGCATTGCACTAGGCACAGCAACAAACAAAAGTCTCTGCTTTCATGCAACTTATATTAGTGTGGGCTGAAGGCCAGACCATAAATACACAAACAAATAGAAATGTAATATGTTAGATGGTGTTAAGTGCTATGAAGACATAAAGCAGGGTAAAGGGAAAGAGTGACAGGGCAGGGTGGTCAGAGAAGGCCTCTCTAAGAAGGTCTCAATGAAGCAAGAGAGTGAACAGGGCTGAATTACGGGAGGAGTGTTCCAGCCAAGGAAAAGAGCAAGTGCAAAGGCCGTGAGGTGGGAACCTCTTTTGGAGTAGAACTGGGTTACAACTGTCCTTTATGCTGAGCACATTGACTAAACCCAAATGGAAATCAGGGGCAGGCCAAGACCGATGGCACCCCCACAGCCCCACCCAGACCAGTTCTTCTGTGCCCTCCACTTTGGAGACACTTGTCATGCCCAAGGCAAGCTGAGGGTCCCGCAGCCACGGCGATTCGCTTTTGGGGGAAGTAGTGCTGGGGAATCTCCGTACGCTGCAAGGGCGCCCCCGGTGGGCAGCAGGTGGTGCCCAGGGGGAGGACAGAGAGTAAATCGCAGGGCTGGAAGTGTAGCCCTGCAAAGTCCTTCAGTGGCGCCGACACCTCAACGCACAGACGCAAACACAGACCCAATTCTCCACATACTCACTGTGCGGCAGCCACATCAGGGGCAGGCTCCCTGCGCAAAGTGTCCCTGAGCCTGAGCCTGTCCCCTCCGCCATTCCCATGCGCAGCCCAGGCCTACCTGCATCCCAATCCACACTCTTGTCCACGTGCGCCTGCGCTGCTGCTAGCCCCCTTCCTGGGATGCGTCTGCCTCCTGGCCCTGGAACCCCGACATCTTCCACCCTGAGCTCGCAAAGCCTCCTCTCACCCTCTAGCTTCCCGGCTCCCGCCACTCCTTCTCCCGCCACTCCTGCTCCTGCCAGAACTCTCTCCCTGCTGCCCCCACCCGGTTCCCTCTTGAATCCAAGCAGCGCTGCGAACGCAGGTTAGCCAGGGCGGCAGGCGCGCTGGCCAACGCAGAGATGTCTTAAGGAAGGACTTCGCGTCGGGGCTCTGCGCGAGCTAGTGCGAAAAGAGTGGGCATGGTGGTGGTCTTTTCTCTCAGCTCCTCGAAAGCGGGTAAGATCTTCGAGACCTAGCTTCGGGACTCGGTGCTGTATCCCGCAGTACTGAGACCAGGGGGACGTAGGGCACGGCCTGGCTCCCTCTTCTCTTCCCTGCACACCCTGCCACGAGTCCACGCACATGAGCCCCGGCGCTCGCTCCCCCCATGCACCCCTCTCCCGTGCTCACCCCGTAAGCCGCCTTCGCGGCGGGGTTGGGGGCGCAGCCCCGGGCCGCTGCGAGGTCCGGAGGCGCGGCAGAGCCGGGGCGGCCCGGGACCAGGCTGTGGGCTGCTGCTGGCCCGGGGGGCTGCGTCTCCGCTGCTGCGCAGGTGGCTGGACTCCGCGCAGCTGTTGCGCGCTGGGCGGCCTCCTAGCCTCAGCCTCGGCGGGATTTCTGCGGCTCCCCCAGCCCGGCTGGGCCCGCTCCTGGGACGGCAAGCCCGGGACGGACCCGTTCTGCTCCCGGAACAGACTGTACACCTTCCCTGCAGTCGCCGCGGAGTGGCCGCCCCCGGGGCGCCTCAGCCGATTCATGTCCCTGCCAGCCAGCTCGTATCTCCCCACTGGGTCCCTCTGGGCATGACCCATGCCCACGAAGAGAGCCAGGAGGAGCGGCAAGAAGCCCCTCCAGGGTTTCCGCAGTAGAAGCCCGGGGCAGCGGGCGACGGGCGGTGGCCTCATGGCGGCGGGAGAGCAGTGGGCGCGGAGAGCCGCGCGGGGGCTTGGAATTGGCGCGCCCGAGCTGCCCGCGGGCTGTGCCCCGGACCCTGCCAGGCGGCCCGCTTTCTCCTCGTCTAGAGGACCCTAGAATAAGTCGACTGTGGTCGGGATATCTCCAGAGCGAGGGCCGGGCGGTGTACGCGGCCGAGGTCTGCGCGCCCTGCGCTTCGCGTCCGCGCTTCGTCTACAGCCGGGCGCGCACCGCCGCTGCACCTTCGCGCCTTCTCGCCTGTCACTGAAGCCTTCCGAAGGGAACCGGAGGGTTTTATTTTTGGAAACCTCCCCTGCTTTTTCGTCTCTTTTATCCACACCATGCCCCCTCCTTGGAGGGACAGCTCAGCCCCCTCATTACGGGAGACGGAGAGAGGAATTCCAGCAACACCCACTTTGGCACCGGGAAGCGAGCGGGCGGCGAGGGGGATTAACCCCTGAGGAGCTGGGGTTGGCGCAGAGCTGACCTGAGGGCTGGTAGGGGAGATGGCGCCTGCCGGGCAGGGGAACCTGCGCCACCTTTCTCCTGCCCTGGGCAAGCTCCAATTTCCGACCTGTCCCGAGTTTATCTCCAGCCCCGACCTCAGGAACAAACTCCCGGTAGGATGCTCAAGGCTGCAGCCTCGGAGGTCCGAAGGAATCCAGGAGAGGTACTGAAACTTGCGTGACAGGGACAGGGCCAAAGAGACCGGCGCCAGGCCCCTACGCTTCGTGCCCCAGCCGCTGGGGGCGCCTGGCCCGGGTGTCAACCCGCGCTGGGCAGCGCCAGGGAGCTGGCCTCCCTCGGTCGCGGCAGGACGCGAGAGCGCTGGAAGGTCGCCTGCGAGCGCGCGCCCTCTAGTGGAGGCAGCCGTGTCCTTGGCCATCCTGCTGCTTGAGAGAGACCTGTCGCCAGGGACGGATTACGCAATAAACAAGGTACGCACCGGTTTATCTGTGTTTACTTACTAACTTGTAGTGCACAATTTCACCTCTTTTTCACATTTTTGACGTGAAATTGTTCACTACATGTGAAATTGTGCACTACATATTAGTAAGTAAACACAATTAAGCCCGTGGGTATACCCGACTGCTAACCAAAAGGTCAGCAGTTCGAATCCACCCTCCACTTCTTGGAAATCCTATGGGGCAGTTCTACGCTGTCCTATAGGGTCACTTTGAGTGGAAATCGACTCGACCGCAACGGGTTTTTCACGGTTGCCTTGCTTACTGTAAACCGCAGCGGTACCTTGTTTACTGATTAATCCGCCTGTGCCTGCCGCCCTCCAGCCGCCAGGATAGTGTGTGGGCGGGAAGCTCTTAAGTGGCCCCTTCAACCCCTTCCCTCCTTGATCTTAATCCTTTTCCTGTTGCTTCACGTCGTTGGTGATGGAGGAAGCTGGAAGAGGTGTTCTGTTTTCATAGAAGCATAGAGTAGAAGCCTCTCGAATAAGGTCACTCAAGGAGACAGTGTGTGTCAAAGAGGGTAATGAAATCCCGGCCTCCTGTCTCTGGCTCAGGGCTCCATTCCCTGGATTCGACCACCCAGCCCCTCACTCCCTGGGAGTTTCCCCGAGGAAGATTCCATGAGCCAAAGCCCAGACGAGGAGGGTGTAAGGGTGTACTTCACATCTTCTTGTGTTGGCAGTGAGGGGGGAGGGGCTCCAAGCCAAATGCCATCAGCTGAGTACCCCAACTATCAGCTTATCATGCACACCCATGGCCTCCTGCCCCAAAGTCTAAAGGCCTGGGCAAACATGGCTGCTCCAGGGCATTTTTACAGCCTACTGTTTCCTAATTCAAGGAGCCCTGGTGGTGCAGCGGTTAAAGTGCTCAGCTGCTAACTAAAAGGTCAGTGATCTGAACTCACCAGCCGTTCTGTGGGAGAGAGACGTGACAGTTTGCTTCCGTAAAGATTTACAGCCTTGGAAACCCTATGGGGTCACTATGAGTGCAGTCGACTCCATGGCAGTGGATTTGGGTTTCCTAACTCAGGAGGCGGAGTGAAGGAGGCAGGAAGGTACCAGTTTGCAACTTCCCACACTGTACAAAGGACCAGCACAGCTGATACTTCATGTTGGAAGAAAGCCTCAGCTCCTGACCTTGGCCTACAACGCCCTACATGATCTGGCCCCCTCTCTGGCCTCATCTCACTGCTTGCTCCAGAACTCACCACACTGCAGCTGCACTGGCCTTCTTTCTGCTCCTTAAACAAGCCAGGTTAATGCCTGGAACATCTTCTCCAAGATGTTTCTAGGACTAACACCTCATCACCTCACCTCTCAGTTCAAATATCACCTGCAGTGACTGTCCCCAACCACTCAGTATAGAGCATCCTCACCCACCACCACTATCACCAAGTCACTCTATCACATCACACTGTTTTATTTATTTATCTTCATTGCTCTAATAAATACTTGAAACTATTTGTTTACTTGTATAACTGATTTATTGAATAGACTGAACCAGAAGAGAGACAATCAGGAAACGGCTTTACTTTTCTCCACCCATTTCTTTCCATGGTATTATGATGAATTTCCCTTCCCCACCCTTCATGACATCTCAGAGTCCTTCGTTTTTCCATCCTTCGAAGTCACAAGAACAGTCTCCTTTTGGTAATTAAGACCAATTTTCAGGGTCTAAGAAGTCTGATCCTGTCCAAATCAAAACTTCAATCTCATATCCAATTTAAAACTCCTCCCCTCCCCCGACAGACCTGTCCCTTGGCTCAAGAACCTGTAGTGGGGAGAGTGGGGAGTGGTCTGTTTTTCTGACCTTCCTTTTCTGCTTTGGCTTCTCCATGTCAGGGTGGGGAAGAGATGTTGGAGAAAACGTGGCGAAGTCTTATGTGACAGGTGCCCTTGATCGGCAGGTGCCATGCCCTGGCTTTTTCATGGGTACATTTGTGGGTACTTGGTGGGCTTTCTGGAGGACTGCACCCCACCCCCACCCCCACCCCTACACTGTTGTAGCGAAGCACTGTCTGGCCAACCTTGTGCAGAACACTGCACCTCTGCCCCGTGGGATTTTCATGGCCATGCCAGACAAACCAGTGGTGAGTTGGCTGCTCTTCATTCTGCCATACATCCCTCCCCCCACCCCTCCCCCAGCCAGTCTCCACAGTCAGAATTCTCCAAACAGGAAGTGCACGCCTGTAGATGCAGCTCTTCAATTCTCAATTCCTAGAGATACATGTTGGGTTTTCCCAAGAACTTTCTTGCTGTGCTTTGAGGCACCGGGGTGGTCTGCAAGTTCCAACAACTCAATCAGCTTCAGTGGAGGGAGAGTTGTGGGGAGTCATGCTGGTCTCCCCTTCTTGCCGGCCCCCAATCTCCATGGTTGGTTCTCTTGGGGCCTCCCTTTCTTTGGTTCGCATTGGGGAACATCCTCTGAGGGGAAATCTCAGCCCTCGCTACTAGGGCAATAGTTCTTTAGCCCAGTGGCTTTCTTCAATCCCTTCCATTTGTAGACTGGAATTGAAGAATGGGGTTGGATAGTTGTTCAATCTGATCTGCTTTTAGTAAGGTGTTTGGTACTTCTCTGTATAATGAGCGGATATTCAGCCCTTATTTTTCTAGCAGAAATTCTAAGATTGTATCAAAAGACCTGTTCAACGATCCATAAATTGTTTATCATCTGACTTCTCAAACCAAAGTGATAGCTCTACAAAAACAGATATCTTGCCTGCCTTGCTTACCACCGTTTTCCCAGAGCCTAGAATAGTGCTTGACTCTAATAGACAGCCAAGAAACGTATGTGAATGGAGGGCTAACTGAATGAGTAACAGAATAATCCCATCAAGTACAGGGGACTGGTATCATTAGACCAAGAAAGAAAAACTGAGATTCTGGGTAATAGTTACTGGCACAAGTTCACGTGCTTGCAGCCTTTAGGTCTAGCCCTAAAGACCTTTAGGTTTAGATTCCCTTGCTTTTTGGGATGAATGCCATCTCAATTCCCAGAATGCTCAGCTCCCTCCACAGCTATGGGAAAATCTCAGTGCCACACTTCCCTTTTCTTTCCAGATACCTGCCCAACTCTCTGGTTACAGGCTCCCTTCCCCTCCCCACAGTCTGCCCAGTTCCTTCAGGAGGAGCTCTTTTCTTCATCCCTCAGCGCTCACCTCAGGTCCCTATGAGCCTCTCAAGGCCAGAAACCTTGGCATCATCTTCGTCCCTGAGCTATTTTTTCCTCCTGTGTGTCCAAGTCATTATTACTGCTCCGTCTCCTCCGTCTGCACTTCTGGAAGTCTGCCGCCCATTCAGCGTCTCACCACTTGCTCGCTTGGCCTCAGCCAAAACCCTCACACAGACACACTTCCCTCACCACCAGGCACCCCTCCCACTCCTTGGTGAATAAGTGGTCCTTGGAAATCCCCACCCTGTTCTCCTGGGAGTCCACAGTGTCGCTAATCTACTCCAAAGACTGGCATCTCCTACCCCCATCCCAGCCCCATCTTCCTTGTCCTGCCTCCCCCTTACTGCCCATCATCACTCCCTTTCTTGTAACTGTCGGGACCTGTAGACGCAGCACTTCAGACTCTCTAATCCCACAAACACTTTGAATTATGTGTGTGGGTGTTGAAACTGCCAAAATTTATTGAGCCTACTATGGTCCAAGCGCCGTGCTAAGCATGCTACATAAATCAACCCATCTAAGCAAACAAAGGAGACATTATGGTGTCCACACTATAAAAAGGAGAAAACTGAGGTTGAGAAAGCTTAGAGGCTTGCCCAAAATCACGTTGCTGATAAGTAACAGACGCAGGATTCTAAACTTAGTTGTTTCCCGCCACAGCCCAAGCTTTTAACACTGCACCATCTTGCTTCAAGCACGAGTTTATGGGTCGATAGACTGCCTCACAACTGAAGTGGCATCTACCCAACCACTTTGCCACTGCCACCACCAAAGTACCCCTTCCCTCTTCCCTGCCTGCTAGCCCATAATTCAATTCCTGGAGATCTGGGGTTATCAGAATGCTCTGCTCCCCT